CTCAGAGCCTGGAGACTGCTTTGGATTCTGTGTCTCCCTCTCTCTGCCCCTCCCCAACTTGCACTCTCTCTCTCTCAAAAATAAACATTAAAAAAAATTTTTTTAATTAAATTTCCCCATTAACTCTATGGTTAAAAAGATACTGTTAAGTTAGCATTTATTTGGATTTTAAATTGATTTAGGTCAAATTCAGCACCTTACACAAATGAGATTATTTTTTTAAAGTTTTTAGTTTATTAATCCTCTCATGAAAAATCTGCATGATCACCACAGATCAAGTCACTGCAGGATCTTTACCCCTTCTTTTTGTCAGCACTAACGTTGGCTTTTGCAGTCCCCTTGACTTTCTTCTTTCTGTTCTTGAGTTTTTTCGTAGTGTTCTTGACATCTTTTTCTTCTCATTTAGGACATGCCTTGCACATCTATGTTTGGATTCATTTTTCTTTGCATAATCCAAGGAATCACAAATCATACCAAAGCCAATTGTCCTGCCACCAGCAAGTGGATTCTGAATCTAAATACAAAGAAGACATCTCCTTGGTCCTGTACACTTTGGCTAGTTTTCCCCGAATTTCTGGCTTAGGTACTGTTGGGTTTCTGAGGTGAAGAAAATCAGTGACCATGTGTTTCTGCTGAAGTAATGAGTTGGTCATGAACTTACTGGTCTGGATAGTTACTATGTTGTTCATGATGGCAGCTGAGCTTCAAGCAGCCAGGGAGGAAAAGAGAGCCAAATAGGATTCTTAATTCATGGACTAATATCTTATCTGTCAAAATGATGTGATCTATTAACCCATGTTTTCTAAAATATTTTTGTAAAGTGTAGTAGTACGGAGCCTGCGCTTGGGTCAGTCAGCAATGAATTTAGATCATAGCTCCACTGCTCTGTGACCTTGATCAGGTCAACAAGATTTACTGATCTGTTTATTCATCTTTAGGAATATAAAGCAGTATATACAAGGAGAACACCAAATAAATGTCCAGGCGTGAGATTGTCAATTCATATGATTAACGTTATGCTTAATTTTTAAGAAACTGCCAAACTATTTTACAGAGTGACTGTACCATTATACATTCCTGCTGGGACTGTATGAGAGATCCAAAATAGCGATAATACCTATGTATTAGTATCTTGTCATAATCTTAATTTGTGTTTACCTGATGGCTGGTGATGTGAAACATCCTATCGTGTGCTTATTTGACATGTATATATCCCCACTGGTAAAATATCTCTTCATGTGTTTAGCTTATTTTCTAATTGGGATGTTTGTTCCTTTATTGAGTTTTGAGAGTTGTTTATATATTGTAGATATGTATCCTTTGTCAGACCTCTGGTTTGCAAATATTTTCGCCCATTGTGTAGTGTTTTTTTTTTTCCATCTTCAGAGCAAAGTTTTTAATTTTGATGAAATCAAATTCATCCATGTTCTTTAATGATGGGTTGTGTTGTTGATATGTCTAAGAACTCTTCAAGTCCTACGCCCTTAAGATAATCTCCTGTTCACTTCTAAAGTTTTTATAGATTTATGTTTGGTATTAAAATCTGATCCACTTTGAGTTAATCTTATATAAAATGTAAAGTTTAAGTTGAGGCTCAATTTCTTGCCTATGAATACCCAGTTACTCCGGTGTAATTTGTTGAAAAGTATTTCCTTCCACTGAATTATTTTCACACTTTTGTCAAAAATCAGTTGGGCTTGTGTGGGTGTATTTCTGGATGCTCTATTCTGTTCCTTTCATCTATGTGTCTATCCTGCCAATACCACCCTGTCTCAACTACTCTATCTATATAAGTCTTAAAATTGGTTAGTGGTTCCTCTCACTTTCTTTTTTTCAAAACTGCTTTAGCTATTTTAGTTCTTTTCCTTATCCACATAAATCTTGGATTAACCTTGTCTATACTTCTAAAAAAATCTTGTTTAGGATTTTGATAGGAGTATATTGATCTGTAGATCCATTTGGGGAGAATCAACATCTTTACTGAAATGAGTCCTCCAATCTGTGAACACAATATATCTCTCATCAGCATTTTGTACCTTCAGCATTAAGATGCTTTTACGCATTTGTCAAAAATGGGTTGACCCTACTGGTGTGAATCTATTTCAGTTCTCTGTTCTGTTTTATTCATTGGTGTCTATCCTTTAGTCAGTAACAGACATTCTTGATTACAGTCTTGAAATTGGATAGAACAGTTCCTCTATTCTTGTTTCCAATATTGATTTAGCTATTATTGTACATTTGCCTTTCTATATAAATTTTAAACTAATCTTGTCTGCATCTACAAATAAAATGTTGCCAGCATATTAGGAATTGTGTTAAACCCACAGCTCACATTAAAGAGAATTGACATCTTTATTACACTGATTATCCCTGTCCGTGAACACTTTATGTCTCTCCATTTATCTAGATCTTCTTTGATTTCTCTCCTTAGAGTTTTGTAGTTTTCAGCGTATAAGTCCAATACACGTTTTGTTTGGTTTACACCTAAGTACTTTGGTTTGTTTAGAGCCAATTTCCAAATAGTTAGGGTGCTATTGAAATTATTTCATAATGGGTAAGTTATAGTAGGTTGCCCTCTTTGAGGAGTTTGTTTCACTTACATCATTAAATTTCTCTGACTAGTGTTAGTATTCCTCTGTTATCTTTTAGATGTCCATGTGGTCTGTAGTGATACTCCCTTTTTCATTCTTTATGTTTGCTAAATTATATCTTCTCCTTTGTCATCTTCAGTCTTGGTGAAAGTTTGTTAATTTTATTGGCCTTTTCAAATAACCAGCTTTTTCTTTCAATGACTTTTCAGTTTTCAATTCCATTGGTCTCTGCCCTTATATTTATTATTTTCTGCCTCTTATGAGGTAGAAATTGAAGTCTGTGTTCCTTACTCTGCCTCCCTTGACATCTGGAAGAGGAGGGCCTCCTCCTTACCAGTAGATGATGTGGAAGTCTCTTGGTACTTCTTGATACCTCCCTGGTTGATAGGGCAAATGGATGTCTATTAACTGCTGCTCATGTGTTCTTTATTGACACATCTAAGGAGTGGGGACAGAGGGACAGGAGGTTACTGGTAGGCAGTGGTAAAAGTTCTGAATGTCCAATAGGCTTTTTCTTTTTTTCTTTTCTTTTTATTTTTTTTTAACATTTATTTATTATTGAGAGAGAGACACAGAGCGTGAGCAAGGGAGGGGCAGAGAGAAGGGGAGACAACAGAATCTGAAATAGGCTCCAGGCTCTGAGCCGTCAGCACAGAGCCCGATGCAGGGCTCGAACTCACAAACTGTGAGATCATGACCTGAGCCGAAGTTGGTCGCCCAACCAACTGAGCCCCCCAGGCGCCCCCCAATAGGCCTTTTCTAACTCCATCCCAGCGTAGAGATAGAGGAGTACCTCATTATTTCCTGGAAGTGTAAAATCAGGCTCTTCATGTGGTCTCCACTGACACTGCAGGATGAAAGCTCCATTAGCGCCCAGTAAGGATGAAAGCCCCGGGTCCCCACCAGGCTTCTCTGACACACACAGCAGTGCGTAGTGGGGGTACTTGATTTCTGCTAGTGGAAGTCTAGGCTTCCCACTGGGCCTGCGCTGGTGGGAAAGGGAGCACAGTTTTATCTGTGGTGTTTGGCTGGAGTAGAGCAGTTATTGTCTAAAAGTTTTGTCTTGGTAGGCTCCCCCTTTCCTGGACCTTCCTTCCACAGAAGGTTTCTGTGGGATAGTTTTTTTTTGTTTACACCTGTTGATGTTCCTAGGATGGTGACTTCATGAACATCCACTTTGGAATACATGGGGCTAAAAGAAAATCCAGTGAACTTACCACTGTCGTTCCTTGGGTTCTGAGATCTGTAGCTAGTCTGCCGCCTTCTCTCTACCTTTCAGTGTTCTTACGATTGTTTCATATAGAAGGCCTAGAGTTTTTAGCTGTACTTATCTGGAGGTATAAGGAAAAATATGCTTATTCAATCTTTCTCTTTTTAGAAATGCATTGTCACCTAATTTGTGGATTTTTATTATTCTTTGTCAGCATGTGTTGGGTGTATCTTTAGACTAGCTGTAGTTCTTGAGTGAAATTGAATTCATTAATATTTCCCTTAATCTCTTGCTTTTTGTTTCTTGATTGAGAATTTTATTCCTGCTCTAAGGTTACAGAGATGTTTTCTTACATTTCCTTGCGAAAGTTTTAAAGTTCTTAATCTTTTAAAAGAATTATTGTTTTTAACTGAGTAGTGATCTAATTCATCCCCCTCCCATGTTAGAGAACTATAGCACCATGAAAAGTTCATCTCTTTTCCCATTGATTTCTAGTGCCACATCTGTCATGTATAAAATGTACTTATATGTGAGCCTTTTATGTGTATTCTTTTCCATTTTTTTATCCTTACATAAATTTCACACCATTTTATTTACTATAGCTTTAGAGTAAGTCTTGTTATTTGGTAGACAATGTCTCCCAGCTTATCAAAATTCTATTGAAATTCCTATTGGGATTATTAAATGTATAGATGTTTGGAGAGAATTGGTATCTTTACCATCACGAACATGATTTTTCTTAGATATTTTTAAAGGTTTCTAAATTTAGCTTACCATTTTTCTCCACAATGACCTTATATATTTAAAACAATTATTTCTGAGTAGTTAGTATATTTTTGTTGCTATTGTAAAGTAAAATAGGTTCTTTTTAATTAAAAAAAATAGTGCTTGTATATACAAATGAAAATGGCCTTTGGGTTGCTTTGTATTCATTCATATGCATTTCATTTTCCAAAAAAATGTACCCGGGAACATTATTGCAGTCTCCTTGGTACAAATTACAGCATCAAATGAATATTAGATTTTTAATATTTTAGTCAAAAATTTAGATCTTAATCAATTCATAATTTTTTATTGATTTCCCAAGTACTATGGAAGATGATTTCTCTCCTCCCCTAAAAGGAACACTGTTTGCACTTGTTAAAGGAAACTAAATAGCGTTTCTTAATAATTTCCCATGGAGATTTTAAGCAAAACAAGTATCTTTGTGCTCCCCTTTCAGAAATCCTGGTTCAATAGGTCCAGAGAAAATCAGAACTCTGTATTCATTCATTCATTCATTCATTCATTCATTCAGGGAGAGAGAGTGTGAACGAGGGAGGGCAGAGAAAGAATCCCAAGCAGACTCTGTGCTCTCAGCATGAGCCCCACTCGGGGCTTAGTCCCACAAATTGTGAGATCATGACCTCAGCCAAAATCAAGAGTCCGGCACTCAACTGACAGAGCCACTCAGTTTCCCCTGGAACTCTTTTCTTTTAAACATCTCCCCTGTGGTTCTACACATGTATATTTGAAAACCACTGCTAGGAGAAGTTGCTAAACAATAAAAAGAGCAGCCCATAGGGATGCTTATTCGGGGGGGGGGG